TATTTATTAAGCCTATTAGTATAACTTAGAACTAGTATAGTCTAAAGCGCGTTCTAAAGGCTATCTTCTATTCTTCTTTAGGTACTATACGTACTACGTAGAAGGCGTCCTATAGGTCGATCTTCGAATACTATATAGAACCTATAAGTCGGTTCTTTATTTCTTCGATATTTAGTAACGGATATTAGTTCTTAATTATTATTAAGTTTAGTCGTCTATAGTTAATAACTATAAGTAGTTTTCCTTCTTTTTTTAGAATAAATATTAAGGGTAAAGCGGTAGGTAATTAGGATTTCTCGATCTATCTTCTAGATAGGTTCTTATCTATCTAGCTTGGCTACTCTTCTAGCTCTCGTTATAATAGTACGTAAAGTAGTCCCTATAGTAGTTCCTTACTAGACTAGATTAGTATCTTATAATTATATAGTCTATATATAGGCAAGGCCGCGAGCTCTATCTCTTCCTAAAAGAGGCGTTTCTATTATATAAACTCCTTAGAGATTCCTAAAGGTACGTTCTTATCCTCTTTCGCTCTAACTTATTAATCCGGTAGATCTATTCTAGTATCTATTAAGCTTAAGCTACTACGTAGCTCCTATTTCGGTTATTAACTAGCTATATATATATACTATCGTTCCTTATCTACCGCTAAACTCCGCCGGCGTATAGGTTCGATATCGATAACGTATACGTATCGTTTAAATATAAGTACTTTCGTTTTCTACTCTATATATAGGTTATAACGTTCTAACTAAGGCGTACCTAAAACGATATCGTATCTAGCTATAGGTACGATATCTAGGACTATCGTCTCGTAGTACTATTATATCGTTAGAGATAGTAGTATCGTTTTACTATCTACGTCGGGTAGGGATAAGCTATTAACGGCTATTAGCTCGTACCTGCTATCTTTCTTTCCCTAGGTTACGATCCTATATCGTTATACGAATTAGGCTAATATAAACGTTCTACTAGCTCTAGAGTCGCTTATTACTATTATTTCGTATCCTTATATAATATATTTAGTACGTAGGACTATTACTAAAGTCTATTAAATATTCGTATTATTAAGTTCCTATAATCTATTCTTACCGACGGGCTCTCCTAGTTTTTTATCTCTTAAGCTACTAGAAGCTCGGGGTCCTTAAGGTAGACTTCCTAATTAAGGGGTCCGTCCTTAGCCTATAACGTAATTCTTCCTTTTTCGATATTTGTCGATACTAGTCCTCTAGTTAATAGTAGTAGTTTACTAAAGACTTATCCCTTCTATACTAGTAGTAGTAGGGACCTATAAGTCGTCGCGTACGTCTACTTACGTAATATATCCTTATATTACTAAACTATCTCTTATTCTATAATAAGGTTATTTTACTAGCTCTCTTATATTATATAGATCTCGTCGAATCGCTATACGAGTACCTTAACGTAGTCCCGTATATTCTTACTAATATAGATCCCGTCTAGGGCGTAATATCCTCTAGATCCGTCGAACTTGCTTCCTATTAGGGGTATATCTTATATATAGGGTTATCCTCCTTTAAGGTTAATTTATCGGTAGTCCTAAAATTCTTTCCGTAGGTTATTAACTAGTAAGTCGAAGTTGTTTCGATATAGTCGTCGTTTCCCCTATATCTTTAGGAAGACTTCTTCGTATCGTCTAACTATCGTAAGAATTATTTGTCTAATTAGTTCTAGCGCGTTAACGCTAAAGTTAAGTAATTTATTATCGCTATCGTTATCGTCGTTAGTATACTTATAGTCTAATAACTTAGGCGTGTCCTTATAACCGTCCTTAGAGTCCGGTATAATAGGGGTTAGCGTAGAGCTTCCCTAATCGTATATTACGACTAATTATCTTAATTCTTCTTTATCGTCGGATTCCTCCTCCTAAAGTTGTTATATTTCTTATAGGGTTATATCCTCCTACCTAAGTAGAGGTAGAGACCTTCCTTAGGCGTAATTACTATCGTCTCTATCCTACTATAGTTGCCGTTATCGAACTAATGCTAGTTCGAATATAGAGGGCTAATACGTAGTACTATTAGATCCCTATAATTCCGTTAAATTAAATTCTCGACGAGGCTTACTCGAGAACTATTCTAAGTCAACTTTACTCGAGTAGTAAGTCGTATAGAAGTTATTATATACCTATAGTATAAGGGGTTAGAGCTCGTTAGACGAGTAAGTTCTAAGCGATAGGTTAGGTAAGTAACTACTCTAAGGTTTAACCTTTTAGCGGGTTAGTAACTTAGGTTAAATACAAACTACCTATATAGAAAACGTTTATTCTATATATATAGAAGATTCGTATCTCGACTAATCCGACTAATTATAGCGTAGTTAGTTTAGTTAGTCGTATCTAATTTAAATAATCGAAGGAGTATTAGTTATATTAGTTATAGAAGCGGAAGCCTCCGCTCCTATCTTCCTATCTACTCGCTTACCCTACTAATTATTATAATAGTATCTATAATAATAGGTATATAATACCTATTAAAAGGTTACTAAGATCTTATACCTACTTACTTACTTAGGGATTTACCTAATTAACGAGCTCTAATTCTAGTATACTATAGATATATAATAGCTAATATTTAAGCTAGATATAAATAGATAAGCTAGTAGAAGTCTTCTACTATAAGTTACTACTACTATTTAAGTATTACTTATCTAATATATAGTATTTATTACTAAATTCTAATCTATAGTAGAAAGGTAGATTATACTTTCTAGAAGGCTTATAGATCCTTTTCTCTTTCGATGCCCTTACTTAGCTTTAAGACTATATAATTAAAGACTTAGTCTTACCTTTATAGTATAAAATTCTTAGAGACTATTAAGCTTAAATAATAGCGCTACTAACCTAGCTAACTCTATCTAGGGTTGGAGTAGTAGCGTTCTAAACCCTAGGACAAACTATTATAAGATATAATACTAGTCTAGGGCTTAGGAATAGTCGCCGACTTCTTCGGGCACTATCGGGCACTTAAGCGAAGAGAGTATTAGTAACCCTATATATGTCTCACCAACCTATACAAACATATAATCCTTAACAGAGCAGCAACAGCATAAGAGCAAATCTTCCATTGATGCTGTTGAGGCACAGCATCACGACATCTATCCTCTGGCTTATGCTGAACGATCTACAAGTACAATGTCCGAGCAAAATCGATTGAAATCTCAATTCCAGCATTGGTAAGTCTTTTGACTTGTCAAGACATGCTGTCTCGGCATAGGTCACTGCTGACGAGAATCATTAGCTCAAAAGGAACACAGGGTTCACGTTGGACTGAGCTATGGATAAGCGGAGAACAAGGGCTGTGGGACCGTGGGGAACCCTCGCCCGCACTAGTGCGATATCTACAAAGTCCCGAGATGTCTGATCCTTTCACAAAGCGATACACACGGTCCGATGCGAGCTCTTGTGCCGGTGGGCAGCCCTGCAAAGTGAAGTTTGTTCGGCGAGCTGATGTGTTCGGTAGGGCTGTGGCACCGGGTATGACCCGGTGATGCTTGCACAGCATGGCTTCGAAACGTGGGGCCTGGAGCTGTCTGCACAGGCTGTGCAAGCCGCCGAAAAATATGCTCGCAATGCAGACCAACAATTAAATCTTGTACCACGTAGGGAACAAATCGTGCCAGGGCAGGCCAGGTTTCTACAGGGAGATTTCTTCTCGCACAAGTGGCAAGCATCCTTGCCATTCGAAGCGGCCCAATTTGACCTGGTTTATGATTATACAGTAGCCTGGCAAGTGCTTCATTGCCACGGAATAGCTTCACTAACTTTCTGATTCCTTAGTTCTTGTGCGCTCTGCTCCCCGAGAGCAGGGAAGACTGGGCGACCCGTATGGCGGAGTTGGTAAAGCCCGGGAAGTTTCTCGTATGCCTGGAGTTCCCATTATGGAAGGACAATGAGTCGCCTGGGCCACCCTGGGGAATGACCGGTGTGTATTGGAATCTCTTAGCAGAGGGTATCGATGGCTTGCCGTCCCTAGTCGACGGAAGTAAAGCCGGAAAAGGGAAAGGGAAATTCGACAGAGTACAGTATATTAAGCCTGCGGTATCGTACAAGCAGGGCAGAGGAACAGATATGATAAGTGTTTGGCGACGTAAAGCGTAGGAAGAAGGTTGGACACCAGCGTAGTCCACATCAAAAGAGTCGCAATAATCATACGGCAATTGGAAGGTGGAAGTACTAGGATCGATACGCTCCAATCTGATGTGGGCAATCTGTCTCCAATAGAATGAGACTTATGGCCAGGTGAAGCTGTGGATCATACAATTAGTCAGGCTCTTGAACATCCTGTCCCAAAATATTTTGTGTCCACAGACCTTTGAGTCAATCGAAGGTGATGTCTAGATGAAAGCTCCATTGTACCGAGAGCGGGTAAGTACTGAGCATCGACTCCATGTGCTTATCACGCCGTGGTGTATATGAGTGCCACATCACAACCCGATTTGACGAAGAGTTGCCATCGAAGCCATGCGACTTGCAGTATACTCTTTGTCACAATGGCCCCTGCTGATAGATTCTGTGTAGCTTTATTGACCTATGCAATTTTACATTCTGGTGCTTGTGCCTCACGTTCCCAGACCTTCGCAGGCAGTAAATTACTGAGACAAGAGTTCTCTTCGTTCGACGATATCGCCCATGGATGTGACTGTTGTAATTTGTAGATATGATTGCATTCTCAGTCAGACTACCCGGATATCGTATCCAAAAATTGGTCTTGGAGATCTTCGAGGACTGGACACATTGTCAGCACAACAGACTCTTTTGTACTTACTACGGCATCTTCGATAGGAGGCACATACATTTCGACCAATCGAAGTCACTCAAGTCTATAGGTATAGCAGGATCAGTACCGCTATACTGTTGTGGAGTGTCGCCTGTAGTGATCGTGTTCTGATCGCCAATTGCGGCTGTTTCAGTGACGTGAAAGACCTGAGCCGCCACTGGACGGAGGCGTCGTAGCGCGCAGAGTCCCAGCTCCCAGGTCCTACCAATAGACTTGATCACACCCATAGCCATGGTGACCGAATCCTGATATTCAATAAGTGAGCCCTGCGGAGCCGCCGCCGCAGCGGAGAGCTGGGCCGCGCAAGCAAAGACAAGACAGCAGACGGTCAGCGGAGAGTGTGTATTTGTAGGCAAAGCTGCTAATGAAATAATCTCATTTGCCGACGCCTGTGCTTTCAGTGCAGATTGTTGCGAAGCAGGGGATATGCTTGTCATGTTCGAGACGCATGAGGCTTGGATCGTGAGCGGTAAGCCGCTGCGAGGGAGGTGTGTCAGTATAGCCGCTAGGTGGACGAAAAGCTGCGCTTGTAACATTAGCTCGTCAACGTGCCCGTCCTGCCTGACCGCACTTGATTTTTCTTGTGGTAGATGATGGAGCCAACTGGATATTGCATTGTCCATAGCTTTCATACTGCTTGGTGAGACAACATCATCGGCTTTGGTGTTGAAGGATCGCGAAATTGCCCGCACTGCCTCAATGCGGTGCGCGTACGAGCTAAAGTCGGGCTCCGGTTCGAAGAATACCCTTGCTGAGTATTGTGCTGGCAATGGGTTGTTGTGCAGCGTCACTCCCTTACTATACAAAGAATCCTCGCAGGGGAGGCAGGGTGTTGACACTATGTTACCACATCGGAACATGCTAGAATGGTGTAGCATGATCATGAAGGCTTCGATCACCCAAAGCTCCCACCATGTCCGCCTTGCACTTTCTGCTATGATGGCGTCGGCGGGCTTTAGATCGTCACTGTCGGTCATATACAAAGCTCCGCCCAGTGCACCGTCGATTGCCTTTTTGAGATACTGCGCGCTTTCCTGAAGCTCGTTCTGGCCGTGGAAGGCAATCGCTAGCAACAGACAAGCCTGGATGATTTCGAGATTGGAAGGATCCGCGGTTGCAAGCTCTCCGATGGCCCTTGCTTTGAGTAAGGCGGAAGAGCCTGGGGCATCTGAGAGGCTCCCAATGAATTGCATTGCCATTTTGAGCCCAGAACAATAGGAAATTACACCGGCATGGCTTTCCGGCAACAGGAACGGGTGGAGCGGGTGGAAGTGCTTGTAGTACGCAGAAAGATGATCGACTGCGCGGTACTCAGAAGGCAGATAAATTTGGTCGGAAGTAGACTGAGAAGCAGGCGAGTTCGAGGCCGGTGTGCCTAGCACAGGTCCTGGGTGAGATGTGACCAATAAGCGAGAATCGGCATCCAGAATAGAAGATGCGACGAGTGGTTCCACTCCAGAGTCTTTGATGTGTTCACTATCGGACTGAGAAGCATGTGCTCGGCGGGTTCGGCCTCGGCGGCTAGGAGCGTACCGACATTGGAGCTGCTGTCGTGCACATCGAAAGCATATTGGCTGGTGTCCGCTACACCTGAGATGCTTATGGCGGCACTCGAGGCAAGCTAGGCTACTCGGTCTGACGCTGGACGGTAGAGGCGATGTGGAAGTGTACATGATCGGAAAACGGGTGGAGGAGGGAGTGGTTTCATCGAGCCTAGAGGAATAGGAGTGTGGTTGTGAGTATGAAGCTATGTCATTCCGTTCGTCGCAGTGTCCGCCAAGCCAGAGTGGCGACGGCCCGAAGAAAGCGGGATCGTATGCAGCATGCTGTTTACTGCCGTCTCGGGCTTCAAAACTAGTCTCCACAAGGGCCTTGACCGGAGTTGCTTGCTCTAGGCCAGTAGAAGCGACAGAGTAGTGTGATACCACTGATCATGACGAAATGTAGAAATTGCTGAGAAGATAAGCCTTCTGTCAAGCCGTCATAATTTGCAAACATTAGGGCTACTCTCAGAACAGCCGAGCACAGCCTTATAGTGTTGGTTGGCTTCGATCCAAGCAGGGGAGCAATATGCAACCCAAGGCTCATGGACCTCTAGATCTATTACATACAAGAGGTTCTAGCGGGAGTTGGACTCCTTCACATTCTCAATGTCGCTTGCATGAGCAAGCGAACAAGAATTCCGGCACCAAATATTCCCGCCAGAGTCACGAGACTTGACATGGACAGCGCGCTTACGCCGGAGAGACCATGGCCGGAAGTACATCCACCTCCCAGTCGCGCTCCAAACACCATGATGAAGCCTCCAATCAGCGCTTGCCAGACTGAGATGTGTGGTTGCGCATGGGAAAAGTTGTCGCCGACTGCTGCTTTACCCAAGGCAACACTGCTTGCACTTATGGCAGCAGCAATCACTATAGCCTTCGGTATCTTGCTTGGTTTCGGATTCCTATCGATGTGAAAGGTCTGTAGAATATAACGCCCAGCGTCCTCATATGCTGTTGATACGCCCAGAGGCGCCGAGGTCAGCAGGAGTGATACCGCTTGTGAGCCGCCAATAGCCAGCCCGCCGACGCTAGACCATGGGCCCGTAGCAGGGAGCCAGATTTGCGACGTCAGCAGTAGTCCAGCGGTCATGATACCAAGTATAGCGTATACGATCCCTTCGTGGATTCCAGCTTGTGGAATTGTCCGCTTGACGATGTCTGTGGCTTGTGGTCGTAAACGCGGTAGAATCTTGGGCGAGACATGGCAGTAGGCCATTCCGCCTAGTAAGGCTCCCAATGCTGTTGGTCTAGCAGACGGGATGCCTTGAGCCAACTGTACAAGCACTGTGCCCAGACACGCTCCCGTCAAAGCCATGCCGGTACCGACCATCGCCCCACCAACGAGATTACTTCCATATGTCCATCGAGAGCCTAGTGGTGCGTTGGGCTTTACGGGACGCTGTACGAATCCAAGTTTTTCGAGTGCGAGCATAACCAGTCTACGCGAACAGTCAGCGATTTCTCACTCGAATGACGTTTGGTTGGGTTGCATACGCGCTTGAGCCTACAGCTGTTGCGAAGACTTGCAGCATGTAGAAGTTCTTTAGATCGAATTGCTCGAGAATGATCGAGGGAAGGAATACACCAGAGGTCGTCAATGCAGCACCGAAAAGCGCGCCCGTAATGATCTGTTCTGCGTCTTCAAGCAACATGTTGTCAATTAATCGAGCCAAAAAGGAAAGAATATGACCAATTTTCAAGCTGTGACTTTTGAATAGTCGAAGCACAAGGCGAAGGGATTACAACACATATGTGCGATTGTGTACACGGGCACAACAGCTCAGAAAGCCGGATCTGCGGTGATGTTGCCACACCGCCGATCTCAAGACCCCGAGGTCGCCGACATGGGATTCGGCGACCTGAACCACGGATGTGAGAGACAGTAATCATTAATGTAGCCTCATATTGGAGAGTGGAGACGGCGCATGATAAAGCAAGTGGCGATTGACGAGTATACATATAGCTGTGTATTCTCCAATTTGAACACAAGTACGGCAAATCCACAAGGCTGTTAAGGAAGAGCACTAAAGATGACAACCACCTTATCCACACTCTCACTGGAGCCACAAATTTACACCCTACATGAGCCAGTCACCGGCACTTGGCAGTACATCATCGGCGACCAGCAGACTCATCACGCCGCCGTAATCGACTCTGTATTGGACTACAACAAGGAGACAGGAGTCATCGGGTCCGAGTCAGCCGATGGACTACTCGAAGTGATTCAAACGCAGGGTTATCAAGTTCAATGGATACTGGAGACACATGCTCACGCCGACCACCTGTCCGCCTCGAGGTACATCCAGGAGAGCTTGATACAACGTGGCCAGAAAGCTCCCTTGGTTGGAATCGGCCAACGCATCAATCAAGTCCAGCAGACTATGGCAGATATCTACAAGATACCACAGTCGGAGCTGCAGAATACTTTCGACCAGACCTTCACCGACGACAGCTCCTTCTTCATTGGCGCGCTCGAAGCTCGCGTCGTCCACCTCCCAGGCCACACACCCGATCACGTCGGCTACATCATAGGCCACAACATATTTACTGGAGACTCAATGTTCAATCCTGACGTGGGCTCCGCACGGTGCGACTTTCCAGGCGGTTGCGCGACCGAACTTTACGATTCCATGCAAAAGTTGCTCGCCTTTCCTCCGGACTACAGACTGTATACCGGCCACGACTATCCGCCCAAGGATCGCATGATCGATGGCAAAGTTCTGTCAATCCCTATATCTTATACAACCGTAGGGGAGCAGATGGCATCGAACAAGCACGTCAAAACTGGTACCAAGAAACAGGATTTCGTGCGGTGGCGAGCGGAGAGGGACGATACACTATCCGAGCCCAAACTACTGCGGCAATCAATGCACGTAAACGTTAGAGGTGGACGTCTTCCGGCAACAGCAGTAGATGGCTTCAAGATCTCATCGGTGCCTGAGAGGGTTGCATTCGCCAAAATATAAAGATGGATAGCACTATCAATCGCGTGACCAGAATCGGTATCGTAGTCGTGTTGTGATCTTGACAGAGCAGAAACTTTACATCTGCAGCCCTACCAAGACAGTGAAGAGGTAGAAAATCTTCGAAACATCTGCTGTGCAAGATACACTCCCTATGTCGCTTGACTCTCTACCTCTTGCGAATTGCAGCACTCAATCCCTTCGTCTACCTTGACCAGCTTATGATCACTTCTAAGATTTCTACGCAATCGGCCAGTGTACAAAGGCCGTGAATGTATATAGCTTCTAATTACACTATATTTAGCTCCGATCTTGAGCATCGACAGACTGATAAAAGACCACAGGCTTTTGCACTGCAATCAATGACCAAGGAGATGCTAATACCCAGAGCAAGTAGTATATTCAGCAGATGGCGAGCAAAGCAGGCAGAACGTGGCGTGATCTGATGGGCATGTCGAGAGGCAGTCAACGATCGAATTAAGCATCGCGAGAAGCGCAAAGCCCGAGGATGCGTTCTCTTTGGCATCAACTCATGCTAACTAAGTATATTGATGAATGTCCTGATGGCGCAGCAGCGCCACATCGTGCCAGCTTCACGTGGTGTGAGTACCGATTGCGTGGAATTGGAGGAGCTTGACTGTCTCTGACCGCGGCATACTAGTAGGAGCATCTTGTGTGAAGCTATACGGTTTACACGTGCGCTGCGCTGGTGACACTGTAGATCAAGGCGCTAAACACCATTGCTAAAAGCTATTGGCCGGGTAGCCTTACCCGAGTTGAGAAATAATGTGACGGTGACGAGACCTTTCCCAGCACCGCACACAAGCAGAGTGTGGCCCGAGCCCACGATTTTGTAGATGAAAGCACCAACAAAGCTTCCCGCTATTAATACGATCAAAAACGCCGCTCGTCGATCCCTTGGGCGGTTCTGTAACGCTATAAGTCCCGGGTCGATCAAAAGATCAACCCATGCTGCCGTTGCCATTGCCGTAGTAATTTCAGGTATCTTCATCGGCCGCATTGACGCGACTTGAGCGCCAGACGAGAAGGCGAGTAGGGCTACGCTTCCTAAAGCTGCAGTATCGAAGCCCTGGTTATCGTTCCAGATTTGGATCGCTGCCGCGCCAAAGGCCATAACCGTTTGTAGGAAGTGGCTAAAGAGTAGCCAGTATCTACGGCGAGGCCCGACGTAGTTGGCAATCTGACCGGTCAAAAGAGCACTGGCGACGAAACATCCTAGGCTCGTTGCGATGTTGGGCAGACTAAATAGATCCTTATTGCCTAGTCTCGCAGCGCCAATAGCTAGTACTACCGAGTTCCCGGTCTGATTCGAGTCGAAGCAATGGAAGTCAGGGAAGCTAATGACGTCCTGAATGCCGGTGACAAAGGTAAGAAGAATCAGCTGAAGTTCGATTAGCTTATCGACGCGGAGGTCCGTTGTCAGGTAATTCTTGACAGAGTTCGTAGTTGGGATACGAAGACCTTAGACCAATGTTAATACTATGTTTGTGCATGACCAGAGTGAGTGGCACGACCTACGAGGACATTGTAAGGCGGAGCGGCGTAGTGGCATGTGCTCTTGAAGTTTCGATTCTGACATAGGATAATGGTCGTAGGAAAGGCGTGAAACTATACGGAGAAGCCATTTACATTGACGTGGTGTTTAACTATCATCTGGAATATAGGAAGCGTAGTACGGTAGCTCCATTCCCATTAGCCTAGTCGTCGAGGGTGGCGTATTGTCGCCGATCTTGTGTTCGGCGACTCGGAAGCACCTAACGATTCAGGGTTTGTCGCGTGGTGCTGCGGGGATCTACCGAATTGCGCCGATACCGAATTCCGGTCGCCGACTTGGTTTTCCTACGCCTAGGGGTGTTAGCTTACTATTAGTCGGAGTAGCTTACACGTGAGTTATACTTATTATAAGTTATACTATAAATAAGTGCTTATAGATTTTATCTCGCCTTACCTAATTAGAAAGTTATAGAGTAAGTTTTACTAGCTATATATCTATATATATCTTAATATTAGAATAATAACTTATATAATTTAGCTATTACTAATTCTCTTTAGGAAAGAATAGACTATATAAGAGCTTAAGATCTTTCTCTAGTAGCCTATTAGAGGCTTTATTAGTACTAGAATTAGTATTATAAGTATATAATATTAAATATAGAAATAAGAGAATAAGGACTAGTTGTTTTAGCCTTAAAGAGAAAGAGCGCGGAAGTACGCGCTTTAAGAATATATAACTAACTAGAGTTGCTAGACTTTAGTTAGATATATAACCGACCGATATACTAACCGACTAGTTAGCTAGGATTATATACCTATAGTATAAGAGGGTTAGAGCTCGTATTATATACCTACAGTATAAGAGGGTTTAGAGCTCGTTAGACGAGTAAGTTCTAAGTAATAGGTTAGGTAATAGACTACTCTAAGGTTTAACCTTTTAGTAGGTTAGTAATTTAGGTTAAATACAAACCACCTATATAAGAAACATCTATTCTATATATATAGGAGATTTGTATCTTAACTAATCTAACTAATTATAGCGTAGTTAGTTTAGTTAGTAGTCTAATCCGGCTAATTAAAGGAGTATTAGTTATATTAGCTATAGGAGCGGAAGCCTCCGCTCCTATCTTCCTATCTACTTGCTTACCCTACTAATTATCGTAATAGTATTTATAATACTATCCCCTTCTATACTAGTTCCGTCCTCGGAACCTTAAGTAATAGAGATCCGCTATTTTAGTAATTCTATAAGCTTTATTATACCTCTAATATCTTCTACTTAATACTAGATCTAACTCTTATTAAAGGTTACGACTAGTACTAAAATAGCTCCTTACTCTAGTTATCGAAATACGAAGGTAAAGCTAGATAATCTAAAACTAAAGTATATAATTAGCGCGAAATCGAAGCGCTATTCTAAGTATATATAAAAAGGTTATACTAACTATAATATAACCTTAACCGCTCCTTAGTAGATTAGGCTTCGTAAGATATAGAATAAGCTATAGAGAGAGTTAGAGTAGCTTAAAGAAGAAGAGATTTCTTTATTATAGTAGCTTACTACGAGGCGATAAAAGAAGGTTTAGGTACGTAAGTAGCTTTAGCTTACTAAGAATTAAATAGACGATACGGTTAGTAAAGAGCTTAATAATCTAGAGGTCGCTAATAATATTAAGGCGTTATTACTTCTATTATTAGAAAAGAGTATTAAGGTAGAGGTATTACCTTAGCTAGTTTATAGTATCTTTAAAATAAGTTCTAGCGAATAGGCTAGGCTTTAGAAGTTATCTAATAACTTCTAGAATAATATTATAGCTACGCTATTAGCTAATACTAGTAGAATCTCTAAAGAAGTTTCTAGTAGTTCTTAAGGTAAGTTTTAGGTTCCTATATACTATCTTTATTAAGGTATCCTTTCTATTTAACTAAGTATTTCTAATCTCTTTTCTTTAAAATTTCTTTTACTTTCTATTCCTAGTTTTTTTAGGATTTATAGTAGAATATTATTTAAAGCGTAGTATCTAGGTACGCTAGTTTAAGGAGAGAAACGTAGAATATAGAGTATACTCTAGTATCTCTAGGTAGTTTAAGTTAGTAGTTAAGTTCGCCTTTTTTTTTAAAGATTAGAAATAGTCCGACCTTTATATAATCTAATTTCTTTATTCCTTTTTTAGTTTTTAGGTTCTTTATTAGAACGTATACCTTATTTCCTATTCTTAGCTAAGGTACCGTTTTTAAGGCTTTAAATCTTATTCTTATAAGTATTTACTAAGATTTAGTAATATTTTATTATAGTTTACTATAGACGTCCCTTAGTATAGAGGCTTTAACTAAAGCTTTTTTAGATACTAGTCCTTCGCGTAGTTCTATAAATAGGTTCGGGTCCTTACTATAGTAGCTTAGAATAGCGATTCGCTAATAGTCTTAGAGGTATTATTATTAAGTATAACCTAGGCTATTAGTAGCTTTTCTACCTAGTTATTTTAGACTAGACTTATATAGTATCTAAGGTATAGCTTAAGATTTTAGTTTATTTTCTTAGTTTAATCGTCTATTTCTAGATAGAATACTATAAATAGCCTATATTTAAGTCCTATTATAGTAATAAGTATTTTCTAGTAGTTCGATATAAACTTAGTATCTTTATTAGTAATAAAACCTTTAGTATCCTATAGTAGTATATAAGGCGATCGAGTATAAGGTAGCCTAACTATAGGGCCGTAATCGTCTTACTATAAAGAATAAAGTATATATACTTAGTTAGCCTATTAACTATAACTAGGATACCGTCGTAGTATACTTCTATTATTAGGTTAGGTAACTTAAAAAGATCTATTTTAAAGTTTATTATAACTTCTTCTTATAGCTTTTTAAGTAGTTACTAGAATTATAGGTTACTATACTTTATATAGCGCGAAGACTTATTCTTATTATAACTAATATACTTCTTAATATATTCTAAGACCTTTCGTCTTATATCTAAAAAGGTAAAGTTCTATTAAATATATTCTATTATTTAAGTAATACTTAAGTAACTATAGTCTTTTCTATTATAGTAATCTTATAGATAGTTGTTCTTTTTAAGTAGTAGTACCTTATACTTACTATATTTAACTAGAAATTCTTCGTTATTATTCTATAGAACTTAAAGAGTTATATTAAACTTTTAGATCTTTATACTAAGGCTTCCGTTCTTATTAACCTTTAGTATCTACTTTAGTTTAGGCTCGTTACTCTTTATATAGTCGCTTCGTCTACTTAACGTATTAGCGCGCCTATTATCTTTTTCTAGAGTATAAATAATATTAAACTTATATTATCTAAGTAGCTCTAACTATTAATATTATTATCTTAAAAGATTTTTAGTAATTATAAAGAATTATAGATTCTTATAATCTAAGTAGATAATTAGTTCTATAGCTCCTTTATAATATATTCTTTAGTATTATAATACTATAATAATTATAAGTAGTTCTTTATTATAGATC